CTGAGGAGAAACTGAGGAGAGGCTGAGGGGAGACGGAGGGGAGGCTGAGGGTTATAGTATATTTCCGTACATTCTGCATGGTATGTCTAAATATTTTGATGGGTTTAGTATTTTGTACCAGCTGTGGAAACTGGTTTGCTGCGAGGTGACTGTAAAAATGAGATTTGGTAAATAATTATTAGAAATCTTATACTAACACTATGATTGAAACAATAGACAAAAGTATAGCTGAGCAATTAACTAGTAGAGGTAGTTATAAGTTTTGCAGTTCTGTGCTCTTATGACTAGATGTTCCTGTACGCTAGATGAGAACAATGTTGAAACTGACCAAATGTGATTGAAACTGCGTTAAGCTTCAAGATGAAGGAACAAAGACAAGAATAAAGACTTCAAGGACACCCAACAGGAACTTCAAATGGGTCGGTGGTCGCAAAAGCAGCCCTTCGACTCAAATGGATCCCTTATTGCGCATGATCGCATGTAGGCAGTACTATGATAATCAGTTGCAATCATTTTTATGTATATGTATACTAATCTGATTAATATACAATTAGTTATTCTATATAACCTGTTTGTGCTAAAGCTGTGGTATGCACACTAGGTGGAACTATCCCCTGTGCATCCAGCACTGCAATAAAGAATGCCTGCTTTCTAAAACTCCAAGATGAGTCTTAGTTTATTTGACCGGCTTTTCGGTATCAAGGGGAGACTGAGAGGAGGCTGAGGAGAAGCTGAGCAGGGTAGGAGCTGGCAGCTCCCCGGTGCTGGTAGAGCCGCTTTCCTCATCCACCCAGCCAGTTACACCAGCGAAGGTTTTGTCAGGGAGGGAGCCGGGCCCCAAAGGCTGTAAACGCCTCAAAACCGGCCACCTTTGGGTCTCTCTTCGTGAAAACCTCTTCACAACTGCACGCGAGGCTAAGCAGAAAGCAGTCGGCTGTTGACAAAAGATGTTGAGGATGCCTGGCTGAGAAATTCCTTGACCAAAGAGCAAAATGTCGAGTCTGCTGTTACACTTGGTTCAAGTTCCCTCCGCACCTCCTGTGTGTTTTGCGGGGTGGGCAAGCTGGATCACTAAGCTGGTTTAAGGTGCTGGCATGTCAGTCAGCTTCAGCCTCCCAGCAGATGTTTGGATTACCAAAAGCATAGGCAGCATTTAAAAAACAGCTGTTGTCATGAATATTAAAAATGTTGTTGAAGTGGGTCACTGTTCCTCGAATACTGCGGGTGAAGCAGTTTATGTAAATGCACATTTCCCCCCTCTCTCATTTTGAATTAAAAAAAAAAAAAGGAAAAAGAAAAGCGATAAGACTTCACTAATTTCTGAAATGAGTGGGCAGCATTTCTTGCAGCAGGACACTGCACGAGAAGAGTGCAAAGCGACGAGCTTTTTGTCTAGGCCTTTGATGAGGGCAGAACTGCAACGGATCTCTCATGGAGCAGGCAAGCAGACCTGCGAGACAAGGAAGCTGTACATCTGCTCCTCTGCCAGGATGTCCACCAACTAAAACCGGCCCAACTAGACCATGGCAGGGATCGTATTTTCAGTCCACGTCTGTTAAAAGTCGGTTACTTGCCTACGTAGCTTAAGAGGCGTCAAACTCCTATTATTAGCATTCCATAATTCTGACGCCTAAGCTTTGCAGGGCAAGCATACCAGGAGTCTCCAGTCAGTTTAACTGGCACCAACCAGCAGAGCTGCTGGAAGAAGAGGTCTGTCTCCTTTCGGTCCCATTCCACCAGTCCCACCGCACTACAAGTAAACGTGACGCCAACGGCAATTAGGAAGTGGCTGAGGCTAGAGTTAATTCTGACAAGCAGTTGAGAGAGTCATCTATAGTGTTAGTTTCCGTCCTCAGCGCCTCAGCCTATTTCACTCTGCAGCTGCAAAATAGTAACGGCAGCTGCAGTAAGGGGGGGGGGGGGTGGCAGTGCTATTGCTTTTCTGCGTCAGCGTGCCTGCGCTGGCTTACGGCGATGGCGAGGCAGGGTGGCTTGCCAAAGACCACACAGTCAGTCTGGCAGAGCATCTCCAGCGCTGACTTTGGAGATGCCGGGGCCGGCCGGCTCTGGCACACGCACAGCACCCAGAGGGTACGTGACCAACGGTCTGGGACAGGACGCACAAGCCAAGTGAGACCGTGGGCTCGTTACCAGTCCCATCTCTAACTTGTGTTCGTGGTACACCATGCATGCAGTTTGCTCAACTTTTCCTCTGATTTTCAGGCGATTATGCGAACTTAGGGAGCTATTTGGCGTGGACAAAATAAGATGAAAGAAAGTGAAAGCTCTTTTAGACAGGAAAATGGTGAAATATGAATATCAGGCTTCCTCTTTTCATAATGACAGAGCTTGGGGGGTTTCTAGATTTGGTGGCTGAGGGACAGAGTTACTTTTCCACTGTAAAGTGATCGCAGGTAGTCTCTTGACATGTACTGATTTTACCATCCGGCAGCTGCCTCGGTTTCCTACACATCACCAGTTCTTTTCCACTGCTTCAGGTTTCAGTTGACATGGCAGATCACACTTCTCTGACAAAGGACAACTGCTGCTCATGTGAAAAGAAGGTCTGAGCTTGCCTCACCTTGCCCTGGCATGGGTTTGACAAGTCAAAATTCATTGGTATTATCACTTTTGCAACAGGATTTTCACTGTTAGAAATCTCTCTGGCTGCGGCCAGCATTCAGCGCTAATATAGCACTAAATTTTTAGGCAAGAAATCAGTAGTGCTGTCTATCACTGTGATGCAGCTGGGAGAACCCAGGGGCTGTCCTACTTTAAAGTGCAGTTCATGGCTGGGTGGGAAGTACCTATTTAGCTCAGCAGTATTCCTCTAATCAGGTCATTCCCAACTTGTCTCCCTAACTGCAGACCAAGGTTGGGTTTGGGTTTGTTTGGGTTTTTTTTTTCCCCATGACCCCATCACCATTTCAGAATACAAAACCCCTAAGCCTGGTGTAGATCCATACCAGCTTCCATCAGACTCCAATAATCACAGACTGGTTGTGCATGGTTCTTCAGAAGCAAAAGGACTTTCCTGGGTGTGAAGGTACAGAAACGCTGCTCTGGACAGCTGAAGGGCAGTATTGTCTTCAAGTGATTTAATACTGATCTACAGGACATAAGAAATAATAGGTCCTGAGAGAAGCCTTTTAGGACTATGAGGAGGGCAAAGACCTTCTCCCCCTCCTTCACACATGTGCACACACCAGCATCTTTAGTCCAGGATTTACGTTTGCAGGTGCCCTCTATACAGCTAATGTTCAAAGGTTTCCCAGAGCTGCGTGCCCTTGATCACTTCTCAGAAGGTTAAAAACCACCAGTCTGACTCCTTAGTTTTGTTATCGCTGGTAGAACACATATGGAGCCTGGAAGTTAAGATAGCAGCAGTCTTCTCATGTTTTCAGGGTCTTTTTTAACTGCTTATAATTTTACCAGTCTGTTTGTTTTTTTGGACTGCAGTATAACAGCTGTGCTCTTGAAGTGCAAATACCTCTCCTGGGGAAAAAAAAAAAAAAAATCAACAGACTTAGTGCAGTCTGTTTCAGAATGAAAAAAGATAACATTTCCTATTGTGATCAAATATGTTTGTGAGCAGTGGAACTTAGAAGGACAAGTTTCCTGTAGCTTTACATCTCACACTCGAAATATGTTGTGCTTGATAGGGTACAAGTGCTGATCAAAGCTTGTCTTGCGGTGGAAAGACTTGTAACGTTTCTCTCGTCTCCGAGTTCTTCAGTATACAGCAATAAAGGTGAGTTCCTGTTGGTGTCTTTCCCTTAAGGGACTAGCAAATTTGAATCTCCCTCTCTACCTAGTTGCCCGTTTTCCCCAAACTCATGTCAACATAATATTCCTGAGACCTCCAACTGTCTTTTAGGTTTGGTTGAACTGCCGGTCAGTCTCAGTGGGTTTTTTGCTCCTGTTTTGATAGCAGCACCAGCGTCGCATTGTGCATTTCAGTTTCCCCAAGCAGGCAGTGTGAGACTGAGGCACAGAAGATATCTCTGTTAGACAAACCAGAGACAAATGAGGTCTGAGGCATCCTGGAGCAACCAGATGATCAGTTCCAAATTGGTTATCATCTTCGTGCTCTTGTGTTTTTTTCCATGAGCATCTGAATCACCAACTCTTGCAAGTAGTTACTGCAGTTCTCTACTTCCTCCTTATGCCAGGACAACGACTCCACAGCAGGGTATTAGAAGCCAACTTAATTTACGCTGACGTCTTAATTCCTCATACAATTGGTCAAAATATTGAGCAATTCTTTATTTGAACCACACTATGCAGTTCACATGATACTGTAGTCAGTAGATCCTGTGACAGGAGTATTCAATTTATGAGATAAGACAACAGCAGTCCTGTAGAGATTCCATCATCGGGTTTGGGAAGATCCACGTACGTGTCCTTGCCCAGGAGCTTGCACACAGCAAGGGCATTGTGAGGTGTGGAAGGCAGAGCCCCAGTCAGGGCTAGAATCTGAGCCTTCACCGTTAGGGGAGAAGGAAGAGGGCAAAAGAGTAACCCTAGATCTCGGGCAGGGGATGAGAGGGGATTAGTTCAAGACTAAGTAACGGGAAGTCTGTTTATGAACATCTGTTTATGCATCTCCTATTGTTCTTGCTTGGTCACTGAGCTGACAGGGACCAGAGCCACCGTTCCATCTGCACCTGTCTGAACCTTCTGGCTGGTTCCAGTCCAAAGCTGTGATTCCAGATCAGGAATCCTGAATCTGCCTTAGTTCAATGGCCATCTAACCCTGGATTATGTAGTATAACTGTGGTTGCTTTGGGACAGCACCTACAGAACATTTCCATGGTGCTCTCTACCCCAAAGGCGTGGTAAGGTTTCTGTGACTCAGGTATCTCTCAGTGTGCAGGCTGGTGACTCATACTGTATGGGGCTTTTTTCTGGCCGGAGAGTGGAAATCGGTTCTATCACTGTCCCATTATTATGCACTCAGATTTGCATTCAGATGTCTAATGCCTGGGGCTGAAGACTTTGCTGAAGACCTTAACTGCTTTAAGAACAAACAACAGTCTTCTGCATCAGGGTTCTGATGCAGGCAGGTTGCATGCAGCTTATCTGTATTTTGAGAGTACAGACCAGCACATGAAGATTAAAAAAATAAAAAACCCCCAGCATTATAAATGTGTTTCCAATAGCTATGATCCAGTCAACCTGCACATTTTTTAAGTTTCATTGCCTATTTGTTTTGGTTGTTTTTTTCCCAGTGCTTTTTTCCTGCTGTAATGTCATGACAGACCCATATAAGCCACTTGGAAAATGTGTCCAGAATTAAAACTAATATTCCCTAGTACATATAGTGAAATGAAATTACTCCAATTTAAGTGATATTGAAGACATCGGACAGAGAAAACTCTTTGTTCCTTCTAACTTTGATAATTTCTAAAGCTTTAGCTTTAGGAAGCATCAATAAAAGAACATGTAAGTGTGTGTCAGTAATACATCAGTGGTGTCTTTTAAAAATGACTCTAGCGTGAAAACATTGAGTAACATTTTGTGGGGGCAAAATCTTTAAATGTAAATGGAAGCAACAGACCTGCAGAGTCCTAAGTTTTACAGCATCAAGGAATTGCTTAAATTATCCTTTACAGATCAAATACTAGTGAGAGAAGTGATAGAAAGTAGCTTTTGCACCAGGTTACACAACTAAATTTTAAAAGAATTCTACTCCAGTACTGCTAGAAAAAAAAATAAACTCTCTACATCAGTTTTATGCTTCATCAAGTTACCCTATTCATCTGTCCACATACAAACAATTACAATGTCATACACGGAAACTGGGAGGTGGAAAAGATTTTATGAAGTTTCCAACACTGACTGACATCTGATCATTAAAATGAAGCAAACCAAATCACATGAAGCATACACTTGAAAAACCCTAAAATTCTGCTTGAACTGACTTTACTCATCCAAGGGGAAAGTGTTTTTACAGTAACTGTGACCCCTGGTGGCTAAAAATAAAAAAAAGTTAAAATATCATTTATAAACTTTGCAAGGGCTTTAGCTTCATAAAATTGTATTCACAGTGCAATATTAAAAAAATGTATATATCTAAAGAATGTTTTGTAGTAAGGACTTTTTTTTCTGTTCTAAATGCTCTGACAATCGTTTTGCATAGTTATAGAAGTTTATATAGCAAGTTCTCCGTATCATGAGCCAATTCACTTGCTGGATAACAATAACAACATCATGTCATTATTACATTATAGTAACATCTCAAATTCCCAAATGAAATTAAGGTATCGCTTTACAAAGTTACTGCCAAGAACTCCAGCGTAAAAGAGTGTATTGGGACTCTGTCACTTAATGGCATCTCCTACCACAGACCCCAAATTCCCTATTGCAATAAAAAGCATATATATGACAAATCAGTGGTAAAACGTGGCAGAACAAACCATTCCTTGTCATAACAAAAGAAAAATTAAAACCTGCATGAGCAAGCAATGTGTGATTTCTGGCTAACATAACTGGATTACATATTTCTAGCCAAAAAATCCCATAACTTCATACGTAAGTTGCAGAACTAACACATTCTTTTATCAAAAGATAACATTTTCCACCTAAGTTTGTGCTTGCACAAACTTAGTTTATTATCATGGTTGGTTTATTGTCAGAGGACAGGAATTTGCACTGAGCTGTAGGGAATATGCCCAATCGGGGGACAGACTATGGATGTTTCCTGTTGTGGTGGAGTACAGTTTTTTGTTTGTTTTTTTTTTAATCCACTACTGCTGTTTCAAAAGCACCTGTGTTCCACATGAAAGAAATAGAGCTGTTCACTTAAGACATGCAACCCAGAACAGGACCTTGGCTATTTCTGCTGGCCAATATTCTGAAGTTTCTGAAGAAATCATGCTTGCAGTAACAGTTAACAGAGGGGGTTTTTAACGTTAGGAGAATATAATTTAGCAATGCAGTAATTACTACAAAGAAAGAAGGCTCTCCAGGAATCCTTTTTCTACTCTACAACTCTTTATTGCTGAGAGGAGAGATCAGCTCCCCCCACTTGAGTCAAGGTCCTGGCTTTTAGGAGGGCCCAAACCAGGATGAAGTATTACCAACACAACACCGTTGCTTCCTGAGGAAGCAAGCTAATGGGAGGGCAAGGGAGCCTAAGCTAGAGAGATTTCCTTCTTCACTACAAATTCCTTCATGATCTCAGGCCAAGTAAATATAGGAGGTACAGTTTGTTGCTCTACCTGTGTGTCTGCTGCTTCTATAGAGGTACCCGAAGCAGTTTTAACCTAGCTGCCTTTGGTAGAGAGCAAAACCGCTATAGGACAAAGTTGAGCGCAAACCAACTGCCTCAAACGTATTTTCCACCCGTCCTTGCACGGAGAGGGGACGGGTTGCAGGTGGTGCCGAGGCCCCGGCTGCCAGACGCATCCCAGGGATAGAACTTACTGCTGGCTCAGGCACAGCTCCCACAAACTCTGACGAGGGATGCTCAAGGAGCCCCGAGGTAGGCGAAACAGCAACAAAAGGCCCAGCCCAGGTCTGCGTGTCCCTGCCAGGGCAGCACTCACTCGTCCACATCTGCAGGACCTCCACAGCTCTGCCACCCCTGCTCCGTGCTGCTGCAAGCAGAGCTGCGGCAGGGCTCTTTTCCGAGGCTTTCCGGGACAGTTTGTTTGCCCCTTTGAGCTCTCAGAGAAGAAATGGTGGGAAGGCATTAAAGGACACACAGCACTGCAGTGATTTGAGTCTGATTCCTCTCAGTATGAGATAAAACGATGGTGTGGGAGGAGGACTCGGGTTCCAGCTGCTGCCTGTAGGGAGACCAGGTGCCCAGGTCCAGGGCTTCACTACTCGGGGGAGAAGGTTCTGTGTGGATAGGAGGGGCAGTGACTAGGGAAATGCTCAATACGATTCAGCTGAGACAATCTGCATGACAGGAGCACTTGCTTGGAGTTAAGGGTGTAAGGGACTCACGTGATGGGAGCCATGAGAATATACAGAGTAGACAAGTATATGAGCTCCTTTCGCTTTACAGAAAATTCCACCTCTTCAGAAGACTAACATCTTAGTCTTTTTCAGGGGCGCAAGTGGCTGCATATCCCTCAGAAGGAGAGAACCCAGACAGAAGTTGCACACAAATGCATTTTATTGCTCTCTACAAACACAGAGACGCATACATAGTATGCATGTAAGCCATAGGGCTGTCCCAGTAGTGGGAGAAACACTATCCACCATGAATTAAATCACTCAAAACAGACAAAAATCATTATTATAATGAAAATGCTAGAAAAAGCATAGCTTACACCCAGAATGTATAACATTGACAAATCAAGCCTTTTACCTACTACCTTTTCTTTAACATAAAGCAGTAACATACTCTTTTTCTAAATTGAAAAAAGCAGCAAAACAGTAGAAATATTCCACATAGTTTCCTAGCTTCTGTTCATCCATCACACTTTATATACTAGGACTATGAAAGGGTCATTGGGGAAAAGTCCAAAACAAAACAAAACCCATCTTTGATGCTGTAGAAGTTATAAGCAAACAGAGGGAAATTGATTTTAATCAAGTGTGCATGAACCAAAGGGTAGTAAATTTATCCTCTGGAGTGACTGAGCAAACAAGTGCCACTAGTCAAGCCAGAGCAAAGCTGATGGCTCTTACAAGCAATACGAGAGAAATCTCTCCTACAGCAATTCTTGTCCGTCACAACTGTAACATTTACAAAAATACCCTCCTTCATTTTGAAGACATTCACCCCCTGACTGGGCAGCATGCTGTGTTACTGTTATCAGCAGTATCTACACAGCTTCAATACCACTCAACGGAATGCCTGAACTTTTGCCAAAGGATCCTGTAAAAGTCAAAAGTATGGCATTCCTTTCACACATAAATAAAATACACGGGGAAATAAAATTCCCTACAGGAGAGAGGATCAGAGCTGGACTATCAGATGCAGTCAGATCCTTCCTCTGGACTGTAAAAGGCAGAGGTCCATGAAGTAAGGACTCCCCCAACTACCAGGGCCTCCAGAGAGTACTGGCATCTTTCGGAGATGCTTGCTTCAGGGTGCTGGGGTTCCCAGGGGAAAAGGAGACCTCCGTAGCAGCTGACTGGCTCTTCTGGAAGTGGCTTAAAAGTTTGGTCTGTGTTTCAGTTCGGACTTTATGAAGAGAGAGGAAATGGAAAGCTTCTTGCAAACACCTAGAGTAGCCCTCTCTGAAGTCGAACTGAGAGCTTTTATGGAAGGATCCTGCAGCTAGAGAAGGGAAGAAAAGAGGGAAGGGCAAGAAAGAATAGTTTAGAGCAACTGTGCATGGCTAGAGATCCATAAAACTGTCACAGATTTGCAGTAAGCTAGAGACCAAAACAAAATTCAATACTCACTCTTCATCTGCAGCTGGCTCTGCTGCTTCAGGTAGCTGACAGTCATCTCCAGGATGTCAGCTTTCTCCAGCTTGGAGTTGGGCTGGTGTCTCTGAAACTCCTTCTCCAGGAGCAGTTTCAGCTGCTCGATGCTGCTGTTAATCCGGTCACGACGCATTTTCTCCACCACCGGCTTCCTCAGCTGTAAAAAGCAAAGGAAAAGAGACCTATTATTAGAAGGATCTTCTCCCTGCCATTTCACAGGACTGTTTGTTGCCCATCACCGTTCCTAAACAATGTGGACCAGTTTCTCAGCTGGTGTAAACTGCTACGAGAACAGCTGAGAGCGTGGCTCAGAGCTGCCTTGCTGTGCCCGGACTTACTTTGTTTTTCTCCTTTGGTGTCAGCAGGTTGTCGGGCTCCATGAAAACAGTGCTGGGAGCCATCTGTCCTGAGGAAGGAAGGAAGGTCTCAGAGTGGAAGTCCGGGAGAAACGTGTTGCTGGAAGCTGCCTCTGCCCGATATTTATACTGTACAACCTCACCAAGAGTCTGTGGGTCTCCGGCTTGGTGGAGTTTCCCACACTCCACAGCCAATCAGGCAGATAGGCAGCACAATAGGAGAAGCATCTATTCTTGCATGCTCCATTGCCGGTGAATGGCCTGGGGATAATGACCTTCTCCCAGATGAGCAGGTGGGGAGTGTGTGGTACGTGAAAGGCTGGGATCAGAATTACGTGTCAGAAGCTGGGAAAGAGCTGGCCTTCAATGGGAAAAGGCTGCTGACTAATGCCGCAGATCAATAGCATTCCAGACGCAGCCTTGGGTTCACATGTGTGGAGGAAGGAGGAGGTCAGCTGCCGATAGCGGGAAATAAACCACTGCAGGCAGGCTACTGCGTGGGGCTGCCTTCCTCTCCGGGGACGCACGGAGGCACACGCTTAAGCAGGCACAAGTGCACATGCACACACGAGCAGCTTCTGGCTTTCTGAGATAAAGAGCAGAATTTCTTTAAATCCGCTCACCTTGTTTTCTCTGAGAGCCAGAGCCAGTTGTTCTCCCTCAGGTGACTGTGACACCAGTTTTGCCCATGTGAAACAGAAAAAAGCTTTTCCCGTTTGGCTCACTGCAAATAAATACTCTTAATTGTAAGTACACACAGTTACTGAAAACGTTTTCTGTTTTGATCTTTGCTCTCTTCCCTTGGTATCTTACGCACCTCTTCAGAATACTCTCAAGTCAGGTCACAAGCGCTTTATGTTTCCATTTTCAAATAGCTGCAAGATAAATCCGTGAGGAGAAGGATCTCAGAGTGTTTTGGGATCAGTTCAGTCTCACATGCTGCTTTCTCACTCCCTCCTCAAAACATGTTTTACTCTAATTATTTTCATTTAATCCATGCACAAAGGAAAACGGAGTGCAGAAGAAATTTACATAGCCCATAAACTTATTAGAAATCAAATTCCTGATTCCTCATTATTCTCCACTGGGCCAGTTTCTGCATTGAGATGCACAGTCTTTGCTCAATAGGTGCCCGCAGCTGGAGGAGTTAACGGTCTTGCTATTTGTATCCTATAAACACACAGCCAGAGATTGATATTGGAAAACTTGAACCAGATCCGCCCGCCTGCATTTATCCTGCCTTCTGCTGGTGCAAGTACTGCTTTCTTTTATGAGCTCTAACCTCACACAAACAGCTGAAGAAGGAAATGGCAGCAGAGTGTTTCCTGCGTCCTCTGGACGTGCACCCCTGACAGTGAGGAGCAAGGCTGACAGCAATGCTGCCCTGTTATACTACAAGAAGGGCGAAGCGGGCAGGCAGCAGCATTAACCACACATCTAGAACCATGCGTTCTGGTCCCAGATTTACGCCAAACGTGCTACGATGTCACCTAATCAGTTCAACACACTGTGAGCATCAGTATCTCCCTCTATAAGATTCAATACAGGAATAATAATAATAATCAGATAAATTACTGTCAAGTAATGTTAGGGCTTATGTTTGGGGATCTCTTACTGTAGTAAGTAAACACTGTTTGTGATTACATTATTGTATGTGTATTAGTGTATATATTAATATACTGTTTGTGTTTACATTAATGTATGTGTATGTGTGTTAGTGTATATATTAATATATATGTGTGTGGTCATGCATGTCTTTTAATGTGAATACACAGACACACAGACACACGGACACAGTTCTCTCTCACTCTGCAACTCATTATTCGTAAGACCAGGTAAGGCTTAAATGACCTCTTCCAGGATCGGCTTTTCCATCCCTATTGTACTGCTCTTGAATAGGCTCCCTTCTTTTCGTACAGAGCAGCAGCTGTTGAGCTCTGAGTCTTTTATGTCAAGTTGTGGGAAAGCTTTTGTGACACCATTTCACATGTTCTCCTCAAAGCTTGTGGATTATCTTTGAGCCCATGTAATGCCACCTCTGAAACCAATCTTTCACTCTCTGCATCCCTCTTGGGGAGATTCTCTGAAACAGAAACTCCTGGGTAGTAACTCATTTCTTGAGCTCGTTAATCAAGCGCATGAAGAAGAAATATGCCAATCCTGTGATCAGCAGGCTCCGCTAGCAGTTTTGCTTGAGACAGTTTCTGTTTTCCAGATTAACTCACTAGTAAGCAGCTATAAAACCAGAAATAATTTCCCCTTCCGGTACGAGTCACATAAACAGACGCTCCAGTTTTAGTCCAACAAAGCTGTTTAAAGTGTCAGGTGCCTTCTCTGCAATTACCCACAGTACACAACAAGAAACTAAGCCTGCTTCTCAGGAATCTGTGCATTATTGCATTCCTGCATTGCAGGACTTTTATTTTGGGAGAGGACAAATTAACTTTCCATGATAAAACTGCAGTAGAGCAGATGCGTGACTTGAGTGACTTGGTCTGCCTTTGGCTTTCTTCTGTCTCGTTTGCAGGCTCTGGCCGTTTCTGGGATTTTCCCAGTAGTTCTGAAGGTGTGAGGGGGAGAGGCGAGAGCCCAGAGCAGCTCTTGCTGCCTGTGCTGGGGCAGCTGGCTGCAGCCCCTCAGCTGATCCAGATCAGGCTGAATGCATTGCCACCCCCATGTCTGCCACTGCTGATTCCACCTGGGATTGCTACAGCAGGATTTTACACGTGAACCTCTTACTTCTCCACTCAGGACCCAGGGGATTACAAAGTTAACTCCAAGGGAAGAGTCATGCCAGCCTGAACCACCTTACTCTCCTTGGTCTTGCTAGAAGTTTTGCTTAATCCGCTATTACAACATCTAGCTCAAGTTAAAAGAGAACAAAAACCTCTATCTCCTTTCTTGCTCCAAGAAAGTAACTTCCATATACCTTCTTGAAGGAAGGATTTGTAGGGGATAAAAATGCCCACTTGATTTTTTCCAGGATCACAAGCATCAAGTCCTGTTCCGTGTCTGCTTACTGCGCGCGCTTGAGATGCGATGGACCTTTTTTTCTCCTGCTGTTTAGTAATTACATGGTTAGGCATTGTCGCTGTAACCCAAGCCTTCATATTTCCTGCCCTGAACTCTGCCACGGGCTCAGTGGAGCACAAGGCTGAGAGCAGGTGAAGGCACACCACGCTCTGTGTCTCACGCCGTCTGGATGTGGCGAGCCCCTTGACGCCCGTACCCTTGTTTTAGCACCTGCATGCTGGTTTCAGAGCAACGTGAGCTCAGGTCCCTTAGGAAAAAAACATAGTCCAGCAAAGGCAGTATTGGCTTGCCTAGCAGCGATTCCAGAACAGCTCTGCTGCCCCACGTTTGGCCAGTCCAAAGCCAAATGGAAAGGAGTAGGAGATAGTTGTGCCAACTCTTTACCTGATCGCACTGTGGTAGTGGCTGTGCACTCCACACGGGTCAAGGGCTCAAAATTTCTTCTCCATGAGGATCCAAACTGACCCAAAGCCTGCTACTGAGCAGGCTGAATGCTAAATAATCTTCTGTGGCCTCAAGAAATTCACTTAACCATAGAGGCTGGAGGCCCCACGTATTTAGAACGTGTGTGATAATAAAAATTACAGTATTCAATGTATTATTATGAGGTGAATGTAGCAAAATCTCCCCCAGATGGTAAATCCACTGAGGTTCCTACTTCCTCCCCCTGTGCCACATGCGAATTTTAAAGCATCTGAAATAAAAATATATATTTAAAATAGCTTTTTATTTCCTCTTCAGTTTTACAGTCTGTCAGGGGAAAAATTAGCCAATTACTGACCATCTTGGAAGAGTTACTCAAATTAGATGCTCAATTACCCAAAATAGATGCTCTGCTTCTGCTTTGGTTGGAAATCCTAAAGAAAAGTGGTAACAAAAATTCCTCCCTATTATAAAGTTAGCAGAGTCAGTGGACTTTACACTAAGGATAATGAATTCTGAATTATACACCTTCTACTATGGTTCCAAACACACACCATATTGCATAGAAAACTTATTAGGATCCCAAGATACTGGATCCGGATAACACGTTTGAAATACAGCATTAGCAATAGCCTTCCCCCAGAATCTCTGCCAGATGTTAGCTCTTTAGGAAGACTTAAAGATGCTGCTGCTTTCCCAAGTCTTGAGAGATGCTCATTGCTCTCCCATTGCCTCTCTCCTGATACGTGCTGCCCAGATGGCCTTTTGGGAGCAGGGTTTCCCACTGAACACAATGCAGAGGCAAGCACCGTTGCTAATGTGGTTTGTAGTCAGGCACACTTCCTTTGTGGCAGGAATGAATATGGTTAAGAAATGGTGTGGGAAACTCAGAAATACACAGTCTTCCATAGCCTTATGCTAGTAAGTCATTTAGAAAGCTAAAAACGCTTGGGAGCAGGGACAGAGCGATACTTCTGAAAAGAGAATGGGAAAGACAGCAAAATGTAGGAGACTCAATTAGTGCCGAGCCCTACAGACCATCCTGAGGTGAAAAATAAAATGGGTCCAATCCTATGGACCTTACTTGGATCCTCACTGAAGTCAGCAGAAACTTTGGACTCCGTGAAGAGTGAAGCAGACTGCTAGATTTGGCCTGCAGCTTTCGTACCTCCAGAGCTATTTCCTGATCTCCGGTAAACGGGTGCAAATACAAATTACCTCTACACCTACAGTGGAATTTGTCAAAATCCTAATCAGCAAAATTTGAGCCTGAATTTTCACCTGCCAAGTACCAATACCAGCATCTGGTCTATTGTTCCCCCTTTCCGTCATCCAAGCAACACAGAATAGCTTAGAAGTATTAATGAAGAGAAAAGCTTCCCCATAGTATTACTGGTATAAAATCTGATCTAATTTTCTTAAAAGCCAAGCCCAGCTCCTATACATCTATATGGGTCATACAAAAGTATCGTGCTATCCTCATGGTCCATAGGAGTCATCTTTTTCCCTCAGCGCTGTGCAGCAAGGAGGCGCAAAAATCCCATTGCAAAACTACGATGATGGCTGCCTGAACGGGACCTGCACTGGTTGTGTTTCAAAGCTTGGTTTTTCCACGTTTGCTCAAGGAAAGCACACCAGCTGACACGTGGGGCTAGGGAGTCGGTGCCCTGCCGTACCACTATGGGTGATGTGCTGCAATGGTTGCATCATATTTGGGCAGGCCAGCCTTTGATAAAAAGAACAGCAAGACAGAGGTACTGAGCAACAAGTGACACCTGATAGCAGAGTCTCTTGGTATCTCTCAGTGACTCCATGGAGAGTCCTAGCAAAAAAAACATGTTATTCTTCTGGGCAAAGCTGAACTGAGGCAATGCCTCCCCTACAGCAGAGCATCTCCAAGCTGGCAGGAGGAAATCAGTCCTGTATTTGAAGCCCATATTTAAATTACAGCAAACAGCAATTCAGATTAACATGCCAGGGCAATTAAGGACTGGAGCAGCTTCTGTATCTGTTTGCAACAGTTTGCATAAGCTTACGAGCAGCTTGACTAATATCAAGGGTCTGTGTTTCCCAGGACACATTAAACAAATCTGGGGAATTAAAGAGGCGAACAGAACATGTGGCTCAGAAGTCTCCATGTGGGCCAAAACCACGTCTGCCACCTTCAGTGGGACAATTTTCTTTGGCCTTACTGGTGGACGAGCAAGGTTCTGCTCCTGCAGCTCCCATCCCTGTCACGTCCTC